ATTTCTTTCTTAATCCTTCAAGAAACCATTACAGTCTGCAACAGCCATATGTTTCCATCAGAAACCATCATTCATTAACGTCCTACATTACATATGCTCAACCACCTAGTAATCTGTTGAAAAGTTTGGCATGTGGATCAGAATAAAAAAAAAAGCAAAGAAAGCTTACCCGGGTTAAAATTCTACCAATGGGAGTTGAGTCAAAGAAGAACATTGGAGCTTTGAACACTGAATTTGTAAAACCTGAAAAGAAGGCTTTTGAAGCCTTTAATCCTAGATGGGCTGAGAAAAAGGACCTCAGATATGCACAGGTGGCGCTGAAGGTTGACATCCCAGCGTAAACTCCAATTAAGATGGTATCGTTGATTTGAGGAATTCCAGAAGCTATAGCTAGCCAAATGTTTGAGGAAGCCTGAACTAGGGTAAAAGCAATCTGACCAAACAAAGATAAACCAAGAAGAAATGATCCTTTTGAGACAATTATGTAATCCAAGAACTGCTTCCATCCAACATCTCCAATCTCTTTCTCCTCATCTTCTGTTAGCTGGGTTCCGGGCAGACCCTTGGCAGAAATCTTCCCTTCGCCACTCTCTTTCTTGGTATGGGATCCAGAGGAATCATCAAGTTGAATTGTGTCCACCTTTTCAGATTCACCCGAATGACCACTATTTGCAGGATCCACCGATGACATTGCAATCTTGTGAGCTTTCACGAGCTGTTGAAATGCTTGCCCAGCTGTGAGGAGTTCCTCATAGGTTCCTGATTGAGTGAGTTGCCCACCTTCCATGACCTGGAAAAGCAGGAAGAGGAACCAAATCATGTTGTTGAAACATGAAAGCCCAGAAACAGACTCCATAAAGGGAAAAGCTAGATGATGATTTGGAGTTCAAATAAACTCTGCCCTCCATTACCACAATCCGATCAGCATCCGCAAGAAACTCAACTTGATGAGTCACTAGAATGACAGTTTTCTTTTCCAGTGCAGCCATGACACAATCCTGCAATTACATCATTCAAATACAGTAACAACAGAAGAATATGCACTCATGTGCATGCCCATGCAAACGTGGGTGGTGACTGGTGAACGTGATATTTCCTATTTTTGAAGAAATAAAATCAAGGTCCATTTGGATTTTGGGATTTGGCTGGCGGGAACAGGGGTCTGAAATCAGAATTGGAATGGCGCCCATTCTACATTCTACCCATTTGGTTGGGCTGAATGGGATTTCGATTTCCATTCTTCGTGAAATGGCGTTCTCCTATTGGAGCTTGGAGTTTGAGGGTATTGTCATTCCAACTGGTTGGGGTGAGCGATGAGCCTGAGCCGGGCCCAAGCCCAAGCCCAAGCCCAGCCATGTATTTTATATAAAAAATATTACATACATACATTTAATATTTTATATTAAATGGCATATATGCATATATTTTTATTTTATATATTCTATGTGTCATATTATAATATATATTAGACTGGGCTTTAACTATTAGGCCCAGGCCCGGCTAAAACTTCTGAGTTAGATACAGAACGGGGCTCAGACTGGGCCTGAATACAAAACCTACACCCAACTCAGAATTTATAGTCTAGGCTGGGCTTGGCTTGGCCGAAATGATCACCCCTATATTCCAGCCTCCCCCATGGGAATGACCGATCTCATTCCAGCCGGCCAAAATAAAAAAGACAAGTGACTTCAAAAAAAAAAAAACTCCAAAACCCATGGGAATGATCAATCTCATTCCAGCCAGTCAAAAAAAAAAAAAAAGACAAGTGACAAAAAAAGTCATGAAACCCTAATTCTCTTTATTAGAAACATCAACTCTCCTTTAGGCCCCTGGTTTGCTTTTCGGTAAGTTATTTATCCGGGTAAATGCAATTACCTGGGCGAGTTTTTCCTGTGAAACACTTACCTGGGTAAGTGCGTTTACTCATGTTCTTTTATTTCCTAGGTAAATAAGGTAATGACCATTTTAGCCATAAAAATCCATTATTAAAAGGGGTATTCTTGTCCCATTTAAGTATTAGCAACTTTCCCCCTAGGTGGGAATGTTATTTACCCACTTAGGAGATGGGTAAGTGGTACCCAGGAAAATAAACTTTCCTTGGTGCCCACATAAATCTGAATGAACATGGGATTCTTGGTCAATGGGAACCAAAATCCCATTGACCAACTTTCCCTCCTCTCAAAATTCAAAAAAAGAACACCCCCCTTAGAGTCATGTATATGTTAATGGAGTTCAATTCTAATTCTAATTCCAACCGCAAACCAAATGGACCTTGGGTTTCTTACATTGAAAAGGGTGGCTGCTGTATGTGCATCAACAGCACTAAATGGATCATCAAGTAGATAAATATCTGCATCATTGTATACTGCTCTAGCAAGTTGAATCCTCTGTTTCTGTCCCCCACTCATGTTGAGTCCTCTTTGACCAATTTCTGTAAGGTCACCATGGTCAAAACTATTGATGTCCTTATCCAGTGCACATGCTTTTATGGCCTTCTCATATCTAGTCTTGTCCATTGGCTTTCCATAGAGCACATTATCACGAACTGTCCCACTTTGAATCCAAGATGTTTGAGAGACATAGGCAATGGTCCCAGATACATCAACCTAGAAGCAAGTAACCAGAAATAGGGCTTATTAATCAGAAGAAACAATCTTCTCTGTTATGTTTGGACATGTACAAGTATTCTAGAAATAGAGCATTTTGTTACTCACAGATCCTGAGATTTTGGGTATTTCTCCAAGTATGGCATACAAGAGAGAGGACTTCCCAGCTCCAACTGGCCCGCATACAGCAATTTTCTGTCCCCTTCTTACTTCCAAATCTACACCTCTCAGTGTTGGAACAGCTGCGTCTGGGTCCCAACTGAAAGAACCATCCTGTATTCTTACACTGGTCACTGAATTCTGTGTTTGGTTCCTCCTCATACCTTCATCCTTGAGTTCAGTTTCCATTAAAAACACATTAAGGCGGTCCAGTGAGACCTTGGAATGAATCATCACAGAAAGAGCCTCAGGAATCATTTTCACAGGCTCTGACAAGCTCCTCAGTGTTGCAAGGACAGTGAAGATAGTCATGGCATTCAGAGGGGCACTTTTCCAAAGGGCGCACCCCATAAACAAAACTGAAGAGATTAAGTTAGGAGACACCCAGTACAGTATACTGCCATAGGCCTTCATGATTTGAGATTCACCTAACCATTTGAGTTCTACATCGCGGAGCGACTCGATTAAGTTCTTGAACTTTTCCTCCCATGACTGTAACTTGATGATTTTCATGTTTTTTAGGACCTCAGAAGTAGCCCTGAGTCGCTCATCTTGCGCCTCCATGAATCGATGCTGAGAATTCTGAATGGTCTTCGCAAAGGGAATATTTAGAAGACCACAGATGAAAAGGGGGACCAAACTAGGAAGAGCTCCTATACCAACAATCCCAAAGAGTACACCCATAGAAAGAATCATCTGAAGAAAATAAGTCCATGTTGAATGAAACCACCATGGGAATTCACCCATGTGATAAGCATCAACCCCTATGTAATTCACAATCTCCCCTGTCGAGTGTCTGCTCCTACCTACACTAGAAAGTCTGAGCTCTTTTTGGTATATGGCAGCCATTAATGCTGATCTCATCCTCATTCCATATCTCCTTGCATTAAAGAACCAATGCCTCTGAGACAAAGACTCAACAAACTTGATCACAACTAGGCATCCTACCAGAAAGATTCCATGATGCACAGTTTTGACCTCATGGGTAGAATACTGAAGGAAGGAATAGACTAATAATGGAGCAACTACAACTGCAACAGTCCTAAGGAGTGCATAAAATCCTACTATTAGCATTTCTTTGAAATAAAGTTTAACCAAAGCTCGGAGAACCAAGTTACTGGTGTCTGTTGAGGTGTTCTCTCTGCAGAGATGATCCCATGATTGAGAAAATGACTGGTAAGCTAAGAGGGCTTCATCATCAGAAACTAGAGCAGGGATATCATCAAGAACTAGTGGTTTTGAGTAACCCAAACTCAGTAAGGGCTGAAGCCAAGAGAATGTTAGTTGGCTAATGAAACTAGTCTGGCTTAGTCCTGTTTGGTGTTTGTCACTTTTTCCGACCAATAAAGGTTCGGACATACTCTGGCGATGGGTGTTTGGAGAAACTCTCTGTCTCAACACTTTGAAAGCACAAACCAGAAGCAACAATGTGCAAGGCCATGAAACTAGTTCTAGGATTTGAATGTTCTGTGAGTTCACTAACATTAGAACATTCAGTGCAGAGGCCAGTAAAGGGAAGGAGACCCACCAGATTAAAATAAGAATTCGCATCAATTTGGTCCATGGAACAATCAAGGAAACTGTCAAAGCTATCGAAACCAGCCCCCTCACAAAGTAAACCAACCATCTCAAATGCCTAATTTCATGACTTCTGTCCACTAAATCCCATAAACAAAAGCTAAAATATGCAATGCCAATAGTACCACAACAAACTGAAACAGCTAAGAAAACCCAGTCCCTTCTTCTCTGCCCACTGATATTATGTTTCCTAATAAAACTTACAATAAAAAGCAGAGAGAAACCCAATAAAAATAGCAAATTCAAGACATCTATTATTCTTCTTTGAATGCACGAAGATCCTAACACAATTTCTCCCTCACAAAACCAAGAGTCTTCCCCTGCATATCCATACAAACAACAACAGAGATTAATCAATATATGTGGAAAGCAATAAAAATACATGGAAACAAGAATATCGAAACAGAACATATTGTAATAGTAATACATGTCAAATGGAGAAGTTTCCAAAAAGCAAACACCGTTCACGACCTCATCAAAAAGGAAAGAAAAATTGATTCGAGAACCCAATACAGTGAATCAGATAAACATAGTAATTCAAAAGGAGAGAGTAAACAATAGTGAGCTTCAACATCCAAAGAGAAACAAATGTGCACCTCGGAATCTCTCTAATGAAACCATCTCTGATTGAATACTGGCTTATTTTGCTCTGAAGTCTGAACTAGCACGTCAGTATAAGCAGGACCTTTGAAAATTTGGACTTAGTCCATCTGCTACTGGCCAGTTTTACTCCAAGGCAGTAAATGGAATCGGTATAAATAGGACATCTGATGTGAAACACAAAACTTATGTTAGCTTCCCTTGACCTTGATAAGTAATTCTTTTCTTTTCAAAATTTTCCAATGTTTTGGCTTTCTGCTTTCACTTTCATTGGTTTGGTTGTCATCCGCTGGCATTTGTCGATGCAACCTTCATGTTGTTTTTGTTTCTCTGGTAATTTCTAAATATGCACGTGTAACAACAATTTCACATGACAATAACTATATATATGTATGTATTTAAATTTTGCATTTCATTTTCATTATCAATAAAAATATTTTTGAGTTATCTTATTTATTTTTATTTAATTTGATAATTATATAATATTAGTAATGTGCACAATTTTTTTTGACATTTTTTATAATTTTTATTTCCATATTTTTTAGTTTTTATTAAATAATTATGACACCTTTTTGACCCATTTGACTTAAAAGAAAAAATGATTTCACTTTTGGGCAGCTTAAGATTTTCTGTTCCATTTCCATAGTTAATTATGAAAATAATTCTGGTTTATTATACTCATCTTTATTTAATATGATAAATTTATAAGATATAACAACATTTTCTATAATTATTTTTTGTATTTTTATCAAAATGGTTGAATTGCTAGGTGTATAGGTTAGGCATGCACTAGGCCAGGTCTAAGCCTAGATTGAAATTTGATACACTTGGGTTGTGTTCAGGCCCAAGCCGAGTTTGAGTTGGTCAATTATCCCACACTAAAATTTAACATGTGTACATGTATGCATACATGTATATATGCAAAACTATGTTTAGTGCAAAACCTTATATAAACCTTGTACTTGCACTTCCCCAAATCAAGCCTATATAGTTGGGTCAGGCTTGGGCTACCTAAAGCTAGGCCTAAGTCCATCTCAAAAAAAAAAAAAAGACCATAGAAAATCTAAGCACAACCTGTCTGAAATTGTAGGTTAGATCGGTTTGGGCTCAAGTTAGACCTGTCCAAGTTGCACCCCCATGGACCATTGACCACCACTTAGATGGAAAAGCAATTTTCTTTTCTAGTTAGTTTAGTTTTTTATTCTATTTCCATTATTAGTGACAGCAATTCCTATTTTGGTTTAATATGATGAATATATAATATTAATGTACCCAAATGATTTTTACAAAACTTATATATTTTTTAATAATTTTATGTATCCTTATTTTTTAATTTTTATTATTTAATTATGACATCATGGATTAACCTATTTGATCCACAATTTTGTTTCTAGATTGATTTTAAATTTTGTATTTCATTTCCATCATTAATAAAGATATTTGATATTTCTTCTTTGGCATGCTTATTTTTGTTTAATATGATAAATATATAATATTAGAGATGTGCCAAAAGTTTTGTAAAATAATTATATATTTTTGTAATTATTTTTAAATTTTTAAAAACTCATCGACCTCCGTCGGACCTTCATCGTTCGGTATTTGTAGCGACTGCTGTTGGTGGCGATGGCGATGGCAGTGTTGAGCCGTCGATGGATGGCACTCCTCTCTTCTCTTTCGACAGATGAGGCGAGTGTCTAATAGGGATTGAGTTAAGTTAAAAACAAGGATAAAAATGTAATTTCACATAGGGGTATAACGGGCATTTTACCTTTTTCGTCCATGTTTAAGGGTTAAGGGTACACTTAGTTAATTGTCAGAAATAGTAAGGGTACACCTAGTCAATTTTCAAACAATAAGGGTAGAGTTAGTTAATTAGCTAAACCATAAGGGTAGTTTAAGAAATTTACCAAAAAAAAAAAAGAAAAAGTAATTGAGTGGCAAAACAGTATTCATATTCATATAGTGAGGCCCATATAGTTGGGATGAGGCTTAGATGATGATTTCAAATTACCTACCACTCCATTAATCATAAATGCATTGAAAATAGTTTTAAAGCAAAAAGGAAAAAAGCACGAAGAAATCTAATAAAAGAATTTTCATCTACTATTAAAAATATGAATGATGTTTATGTTTTGAACTTTTTCTTGACTAAAATGATCATATTTTTAATTTGGTCCCATTTTATTAATTACAAGGACAAAGAAAATCATCTGAATTACTACTTTTATTTTAGGGTATTAAATTCCACTTCTTTCATGAAATCTTATATATGAGGTATATTAAATGAATGAGCCTTTTGTTAGTATATAAATTCTCATCCACTCTCATTAAATTTTTCTTTGAGTTATTCTTGTTTCTCACAAATAAATTCTACTTATTAAATTTATATACAATAATTTTAATAACAAACCTATATATTAAAAACTAACATGAAAACAAAATGAACGAAGATCCAGGGTTTGTTAGATTATTTGGATGAAAACCCAGGAATTGGTTTTTGATTGGTAGTGAAACTCAAACATCAAGATGTTTAGGGGGTGGTATCCAGACATATTCTTCTTTCAAAGTCGTTTCTTCCCATGTATCTAATCTCTCTCTCTGAGACTTCCTTCTAAGACTTTGTTCAAAGTTCGTTGTGAGAGAGATTGAGGATTTCGAGCTGATCTAATCCAGAGAACTTGTCTAGGATCTTGCCAGAAAGCTCATTCCAACTAAGATTTAAAGTTATCTCTAGTGCCAGAATTTTGCCCAGGCTCGGTGAAATCTCTCCTATGAATTGGTTTTTGCCCAAGTCAAGGAACTGTAGTTTTGTACACGAGTCGAGTTGTGACGGGATTGAACCTGAAAATTGGTTCTTTCCAAGGATGTGTTTGCTGAGCGACATTAGCGATCCAAGATTTGGATTCAACTCTCCTTCTATCAAGTTGTCGGAGACGTCAACATATTGAAGTGAAACGACCTGGTTGAAATCTGTAGGCAAATTGCATGTGAAAGAGTTGGAATGTAAGTTGAGGAATGTTAGGTTTTGGCAATCATCTTCGACGGTATGACCCCGCAAACTATTCGAACCGAGATCTAAGAAACTCAAATTGCACAGCTTCCCGATTTCTGGCGGAATAGGACCGGTAATCTTGTTGCCATTGGCTTTGAATTGGATTAACGACGTGCATTTCCCAATCTTGGGTGGAATTTGGCCTATTGTTCGACAGTAGCAGCAGATTGTTTAGATTCTACAACTCGAAGATTCCTCTTGGAATCGGACTTCTGTATCTCTCTCTCTGAGACTTCGTTCAGTCGTTCAACATTCGTTCACGTTCAAAGTCCGAACTTCTCTGCAACTCTCTCTCTCTCCTCGTCCCGTTCACTTTCTCTCTCTATCTATCTCCGTTCGTTCTCTCTCCCTCTCGCCCCTGTTTCATCACCGCCGCTGTTGCAAGTTGCAGCAGCGCTGTTGCAAGTTGCAGCAGCGACGGACCTCTCCAGTAACGCCCCTTTCTCTCTCTCCTCTTCGTTCTCCCTATTTTCTTCTTCCTCCGTCCCCCTCATAGATCTATAACTCTCTAAGTTTTTCGTTGACAAGATTTCTCCTCTTTTCCTCTTGATGAAGGGAAATTTGGCCCGACCTCACGATCGCCCGACACGTGGCAAAGGCAAGCAGCTCGAGACAGTAGAGCGCCCGAAGCGAACATCGGAAGCAAGTCCAAGCTCACTACCGAGCCCGAACTCCAGACCGCTGTACTGAGTCCGAGCTCCCTTTTAAGGGTCCGAGCTCCCTAAGTAAGAACCCAAGCTCCCTAAGTCCGAGCTCCCTACTAGGAGCCCGAGCTCCCTGTTAAGAGCGAGCTCCCTGTTAAGGGTCCGAGCTCCCTAAGTAAGAA